TGTTTCAGTTAATCCATTTTATATAAGCAAGTTAGAATTTAAAAGTATAAAGGTAAGACTCATCCTCTCCTATTTCTAAAACATTATAGACTCCAAATTAAAAAACTGTTTAACATTTTATTCTATGCTTATGGCCACCAGATGTCCTAGATTTCCTCAGACACAAACCCTGAATCAAATACTCTATCCCTTTACCCCTGCAAATAGAATCCCAAAAATGGAATCAAACCACAATTCCCAGAAACACCCTGAAACCACACAATTCCTTTTTTAGACCATATATGTGCCAGTCATTATTTCTGTTCATTCAAGGAATCTGCAGAACCAGCCTTAATACTTTTGCCCAGAAACTGCTCATCTGAGAGGGAAAAACTACTTAAGAGAAATAGGTTTCCAAAGGGAACATATTGCTAGCAAAAATACCCATTATTTTCCCTTATGCTAGGTTAAATAATTTGTTCTCAATTTGATACCTAGGCTTTCTAGTGAACTATTTGTGAATCCTAGGAGTTCTGCTTCAATCCTCTGACCCTGCTATTCATTCAAAAATAGCCAGTTTAATTAATAGAATACTTCATAAAATAATCTTCATTTGTGCCCTCAGGAATTCCTAGAGAACAGGATAAAGTTTAGACTCTTAACAGTTCTGACTTCAGCGACTTCAAGAGGACTTCTGCACCCTCACCATACTCCAGCCTTCCCTGACAACTTGACACATCACTTCACAAAGAGCATTAGGACATCAGTTTTTATTCATCACTTTGAGCACCTAGTGCCTAGCACTATACTATATATAGCCCAAGGAAATTAGTGCGTTGGAAAATGGACACTTTAGAGTCAAGTGGGGAAGACAATTATATAATTGTGAAGGAAAGAGAGTGAACCAATAATGGAGAGAGGACTTGCAATTTAAGGTGCTGAGGAAATTTCCTGAGGTGTTGAGAACCTAAAGGTTGAGAAGGAAATAGTTATGAAAAAACCAGGGAGCAAAAATGTTCTAGGTAGAGGGAGAAATATATGCAGTGGCTCTGAGGCAGGAAACAATGTGTTGAGGACATTTTAAAAGACTACTATGGCTGGAATATAATGAGAAACAGAGGAGAATGTGGCTGGAAAGATTCATAGGGGCCAGATCATGCAGGGCCTCAGGAAGCTATTGAAAAAGAGCTAAACAAGCAGGTAATATAATCCCACTTACATCTTTTGAAGATAGTAATCTTCAGATCAGTAGTGGTACAAGAATAGAAGCAGGGAGACAAAATAAGGAAATCCTTGCAGACATCTAAATAAGAGATGGTGGTGGGGATTAAGGAGTGCATGTGTCATGATGAGCACCGGGTGTTGTATAAAAGTAATGAATCTCACTATATTATACACCTGAAGCTAATATTACATTGTATGCTACCTGGAATTTAAATTTAAAAAAATTTTAATGGGGCACCTGGGTGGCTCAATTAAGCGTCTGACTCTTGATCTCAGCTCAGGTCTTGATCTCGGGGTCATGAGTTCAAACACTGCTTTGGGCTCCGTGCTGGGCATGGAGCCTACTTAAAAATTTAGATAGACACAGACAGATAGATAGATAGATAGATAGATAGATTAGATAGATAGATAGATAGATAGATAGATAGATAGATAGATATATGTGGGACCTGGCTGGCTCAGCCGGAAAAGCATGTGACTTTGGATCTCAGGGTCATGAGTTTTAGCCCCACATCAGATGTAGAGATTATGTAAATGAATTAAAAAAAAAAAAGATGGCTACTCAGGCACTGGGAATCAGGAACCTTTTAATGCCATCTCAGGGGGTGCCTGGGTGGCTCAGTCGTTAAGCATCTTGCCTTCGGCTCAGGTCATGATCCCAGGGTCTTGGGACCAAGCCCCACGTTAGGCTCCCTGCTCAGCGGGGAGCCTGCTTCTCCCTCTCCCACTCCCCCTGCTTGTGTTCCGTCTCTGTCAAATAAATAAAATCTTAAAAAAAATAAATGCCATCTCAGATTAAAAGATGAACACAAGTTAACCAAAGGGTAAAGGCACTGCAAGCCACCAAAGAACATGTACAGTGGCATTCAGTCCCAAGACCATAACCCTTTTGACAAGAAAAATAGCCTGGTACGGCAACAGCAAAGAGTATGTGACAAGAGTGAAGGCAGGAAGACCAGCTGTTAGAAAACCATTGCAATAATCCAAGCAATGAAAATATAGTGCCCTGAATTAAACCAGTGGCAATAGGGAGGGAGAGGCAAGATTGTGTCCATGTATTGTTGTAAATGGTAGAAGAGACTGGCTAGATTTGAAGAAGGGAGGGCAAACGAGGAGGGAAGAGAAACTTGGGATCACTGGATTTCTGGCTTTAAGTGGGTAGATTATGGTAGAGCCAGGTGTGTGGGAAGGATGAGTTCAGCTTTGTATATACTGCCATAATGGAAGGGCCATAGAGTAGGCAGTTGGATACATGGCAGTCTCCAGGTTAGAAGGAGGCTAAGGCTGGACATGAACATTTAGAAACCACAGGTAAACAAGTGATGAATAAAGCCCTAAGAAAGACTGACTGTCCAGGAAAGTACAAAACAAGAACACCTTAATCCAGAATCCTGGAATGCACTGACATTGAAGGGGCAAGAGTTAGAGCAGGGTTTCTCAACAGCACTAATGCTTTAAGTTAGATAATTCTGTTGTGAGGTGTTGTCTAGCACATTGTAGGATGTAGGTAGGATCCCTGAACTCTACCCACTGGATGCCAGGAGGACCTACTCAGTTGTGACAATCAAATATGCATCCAGGCATTGCCAAATGCCCCTAGGAGGGAAAAATCACCCCTATTTGAGAAACACTGAGATAGAGTAGGAGAAGCCTCCAGGACACTGATAAAAGGTTCTGAATGAACTCCCTCAATCCAGAGGATTCCTCCAAAGTCTCTGTGCATAGTACTGCTCTTGGTGCCCTTAAAGTATAGAAGATCTAACGGTCATATTCCACTATAACCAACACACAGGGTGTTGGAATATCTTTTCTATACTAGATTGGATCAAATCCATTACTAGAAACCCCATTTCTAGTATGAGGCTACAGTGGGAAAAAATAGTCTCTTGTAAAAATCTTATTCACAAATGACACACAAAATATGTGAACCTACCCCCCAATGCAGGATTAGATGTCACCATCCTGTTCCAGTAAGCCCCAGCATTTCTCTATCATGAGAATACCTAACATTTTCCAAGAGTTTATGATTTAATCTCCACTTGACCCTAATGAGGGGTAGGAACTGCTATTAACTCTTTAGTTGAAGAAACTGATGCAGAGGGGTTAAGTAACATGCCCAAAATCACATTAAGTGATCAAACTGAGATTGGAACCTGACTTTTCCAAAGCCCATGCTCTAAGGCTAAACACTTTACCATTATGCCAGATGGCCTCCATTAGGGTACAAGTTCTGTGAGGAAGGGGCTCCTTTTCACCGTTGTATTCCTAGTGAGTCTCAGTTCAGGCCTAACTTACTCGCAGATCTGCACTGAGAAGATCCTGAGAGCTCAGTAAGTTTGGGCACCAAGAGGAAGAAAATGTCTTCCACTCTTGACAGGAAATAAGCAGTCACAGTAACTGATACTGCATTGCTAGAACTAACTTTTGAGAATTTTGTTCCAGAAATGGGAGGCTCAACCATCAACCCTGCCTCACTTAAAGCAGTACCCTCCCTAGTGCCTCCTTACCCAGCAGATGCCAGTTACATTGAGGCCTCAAGGAGGTGGAGGAAGAGTGGAAACAGAAATTAAGTATAGAATGGACTATTTCTGCAAAATGAAGTTGTAAATATTTTTCATAGGATCAAAAATTGGTACTCAAGGTTAAGTTTTCCAAACATCAGATAGGCTTTTTTTAACATCCTCTACCCTCTATTCAAAAATGTTTTAGAAAGTTGAATAGGTATTACCTCTACTACTAGACATACCTGCCTCAACATATTTTTCATTAGACAGCCTTAGTATCTTTTTTGATGAAGGGACTATATGTCTAGAAATTTCTGCACACTGTGTAAAGTCCTCACAAAAGATGAAAAGATTAAGCTGATGATACCAGATACTGTAAGACGCTGGTAATTATCATGTATATTTTTCTGGGCCCAGATGTAGCCTCGGCGTATTTATCAATTTAATATTTCAAGCAGCCATCATTCCCACTAGATAAAATACTTTTTTGTCCCTGCCTAAGGCCACCCTCAGGCATAGCCTAGAAGATAATGGAACTCAGGGGATATCAATAACTTCTAAGGGGAATAAGCAAAGGAAATATGCTGTGAAGTTCTGTAAAGAATGTAAGGAAATCCATGAATGGGCTTTAATCTGCTCTGTGTATATACTTACACATCTAAATGTACTTCCTGGGGCGCCTGGGTGGCTCAGTCGTTGAGCATCTGCCTTCGGCTCAGGTCGTGATCCCAGGGTCCTGGGATCGAGCCCCCCATCAGGCTCCCTGCTCTGCGGGAATCGTGCTTCTCCCACTCCCCCTGCTTGTGTTCCCTCTCTCGCTGTCTCTGTCAAATAAATCTTTTTAAAAAAATAAAATAAATGTACTTCTTGGAAACCATGGAAGCTAAAAAGCCGCTTGCAGGGTGAGAATGTTCCCCACTCTGCATGGAAGCCACTTCAATCAAGACATTCATATAAAGCTTGTACTTTATGGACCTCACACCCTCCCCAATCTAGCCCCATCGATAATATGTTCTCATTCCCACCAGTGCTTCTAGGGAAAGCTAGATACAGCACATTTTCAACAAATTCTACCATGAACTTGAGCTTTAAAGGAACAGGGAGAATATGTTTTGTTCTAGATGGAAGCATTTTCTCCAGCGCTGCTTAGTTGTTTATAGCTGTCATTTAGCAACTGAGGGTATTTTTTGCAAGCTGGCGGTCTTCAGTCCCTAGTTTGCCATATTGACTCCTACCCAAACATTGACATTTAAAAAAAAAAAATCAGTAACTCACTTTTGTTTGTTCTTTCAGCTCCTTTGAAGATTATGAAACAGAGGAACCTGTCTCTCCCTCTGAAATTGGAAACAAAGGCAATAAAAGTAAAATAGTAACCTCAAGCCTTTCAGAGAAATGTGGAAAGCTTCAGTCAGTGGATGAAGAGTAGCTGCCAATGTCTTGAAAGAGATACGTATTTTAAATGTCTTTTTCTTGTGGAGATGCTCCAGTTTGCATACTGCTTTTTAAAGGCTTTGATTTCTACAAGTGTGTATCTGCACTAGGATCTTTAAAACATTTTTAAGCAATAGGTCTGGATACACATACTCAATTTGGGGGACTCCTCCAATTTGCCTCAAACCTCTTGCAGAGCTTTTCCTCCAAATAAATCAGTGATATACACCTTCCAAAGTCTGTGAATCAGCACTCTTCACCCCTGAATGTACCAAGGATATCTCGGGGACAGTGCCAAGCACAGTTCTCTGCACAAAAGCAGGAGTTGCCTCTGTTGTCCAGCATCCCTGAGGCCCCTCAGGGCTCCTATGGAGCCCAGAAGAAACCTTTATTTGCAGAAAACTTGGTCAAAAACATTCTGGAACTTAAAAAAGCAGTTAAGGGCCTCCAGAAGTGACTTACCCCTGGTAATAAAAGCACTGCCAAAACATCTCAGAGACTTTTTAAATGTGTACTGGAGTTCAAAGATCTTGAACTTACTTAATATAATTTCACAATGACCTGCCAAACTACTAGTCACTTTACATCCTCAGGTATTGTAACCACTGGGCCTTCCAACCTTGCTGGCAAGTTCTGAATAATCTCTCCCCATCCTGTGGATCTTATATAAAACATGATGAAAAAACTTCTAAGTACAGAATTTGACTCATACTTGAAAAAAAGTTTCCTTTTATCTAACATTTGTGGAGAATTACTGAATGACTTATTAATCTCCCAGTTAGTTGATACCCTATCTGTACTTCCTATTAAAAGGCCTACTTGAAGACAGTGATACACAAAAATTCTTACCAGATGTATTCATCACTGAATATTAGACTAAGCCACAGTAAAGGCCTCAATCTATTATCCCTTCATATAGAAAAGGAACTACTATTTCAAATATCCCACCACCTCAATATTTATCACAAAAATGGAAGAAAATAATGATGCCATCCATCCATAAAGGAAACCTGTTTCATCTGTACTACAGTGGTAGATGTGTTCATTACAGAATTTTACATTTTTTCAGCAAGCCACAGTGCAGCCAAATTCTACAATATCCTTAAAGATAAAACTGAAAATAAACTATGAAAATGGATGGACATTTCTAATAGTGTAAATGAAAGAAACCTGCAAGAAACTTTAACATCTGTGTCAGTCATCACCCTTTCCCCTGGGTTTTTTGCTTTAACCACAAGTCCTATATGTCAGAATAGTGTCCCCTGCCAACCTGCTTTGGTTCCCCCTTACAGATGTGAAAGTCAAAAAATGAAATAAACCTTGGGCTATGGTAGGCAAAAAGTAGAGATAAGTGCAATTTAGGAAATGTACCATCAAGTGGTACAGTAATAGTTTTTTTTTTTCAGTATCTGTTGCCTGTTTACTTTTCGTATCAGAATTAACCTTCCATTTAATGGTTACAGAAAGTGATAAATATTAAAATTTGGCATCTAATACTTCACAAACTAAAAGCTTAAAAATGACTAAATTTTTAGGAAACACTACCTGTAATAACCCAAACACACTAGTAAATTAGGATTAAAAGTATTTGTGATATGTGACGTTTACCATCTATTCCATCCACCCTTTACCAGGGAGAGAGAGCAATTACTTAATTTCAGATTAAAATATTAAAAAGGTAGTATTTTTCTTAGAAGCCAGATATGGTTTAAAGGTTTTTTTTATCCGTAATGATCTAAACTATTCTTAAGACTCACCAGCAAAAAGCAAAAAAAATTTAATTTTCCAATATACATTGGATTTTTTTTTTTTTAACTACTACTACTTGGCTTTTACCTTTTTACCTTGTATCTCCTTACTGAAATCCTCTTGCTTTTACTTTGGTCTGTATTTGGTTTCAAAAGTCTGTAATTACTATAAAAAGTAACAGCTACCAATATCATTCCATTTAAGATAAAGCTATTTTAGGTCACCCAAAGTATATTTTCAGACACAAGTGTTTCACTGTAGTCCTTTCTTAAGAGTTGAATGCAAGAAATGTGAATTCCAAGGAACCTACAGGACAGTATATATTTGACTTTCTGGTAAAGATCTCACTGGATAAAATCATTACTGCCCAACTGGAAATTTCAAGTTTTTACAATATCCCAGGCTGCTTAATAAAAATTAAATTGAGGGTTATCATAGTGTTAATGCTATTCAATGAAAAATGAGTTTCACAGCAAAACATTAATTGCCAACGTACTCAAACTAATGAAATTATGTGTATTTTCCCTGCATTTTATCTATGTCATTGTGTATGATTCGAAGTGTTTATAAAATTCTAGATTGATCAAATGAGGTAAGTCATTGCTCAACTTTTGGAAATGTTATGAAAGTGTGTTTGGGTGGAGAAACCTGCATGATTTAACTTGTTTTTGTTTTTCCCTTTTTGCAAAACTAAATAAAGAGACAAGTTGTCAAATATGAACCACATTCACTAAGGTAATCACTACACACTTTTGGTTTTATTCACACGTGCACCTCATTTTTATATTTGAAAGAGTAACATTGTAAACAAACTTGAGTTTCAAAGAATAATTCTTTGAACCACTGGGAAAATCATAAAGGAATTTCTAGAAGGATAACACAAACCTCGTCACTGAGAAGTTATTTTCTTCAGGGGAATAAGGAAGAGGACTAGATACAGGGAATGATAAGTTCACAGGGATCAAAAGGGACTTTAGCCTTATGTACTTTTAGCCTTATATATAATGTATTCCTTTAAAAGAATGTGTAATTGATTGTTATTTGGGTACCTAAAACCTAATTTTTTAGAAAGGAGGGAGAAAAGTTAAACTATCATCCAAGTATTAGATTCTGACTCTATACTTTCAACTTAGTATTTTCTAAAACATTTTATATTTGTTACCTATGATATGGGAAAGGAAATTTTATTTTTCATCTGTTGTAAAACTTTTACTTTTCTTCAGCAAGGTCACCATATAGTTGTTTCAAGGATACTAAGATCACAGTAAAATAAAAGGAATTCTTTATCCTAGGACCATATTAGAGCTCTGCACAGAAATGTAGACTTACTGAAGCTAACCAAAAAGATAAATCACCAAGTTCTAACACTTTTATCATTTGATGTATGTTAATAACAAAGACTCAAAAGAACAAATGAAAATGTGTCATATTAAAAGTTGTTATTGTTTTGATGGTTTCAAATCCTGATAAAGTCAATCCAGTTACTGCAGAAATAATTTCTCAGTCATCCCTAGTTAGCCATTGGTCAGCATTCCTAAATAACTCATGGTATAAAGAAAAACAATGCAAAAATCAAGGCACTGTATTATTCTTCCCCAAATGTATATAATATAGGCCATTCAGAGCATACTATCCCAAACTCCTCAGTATTCTACAACATAGAATTAGAAAACTAATATTTATTGATAGATTTAAGGTGTAATACAGGTTTCCAAAAATGTGGCAGTGAGAATACCAGCATAAAAAAGAGAAACTTGTGCTAAAAACAACCTGAATTAATCACTGGCAATATTACATAACAATCAAGGCCCTCACATACTAATGATTTCCAATTTGTCTATATTGCCAACCTCCCATGCATCAAAAAAACACAAAACTAAAATTATCAAACTTGGGAAGAAATAAAGTACTCTGAATTTTAAGATCATAATATTAGGAAAGTTTGGGAGATTTGCAAAATATATCCTAATCATCCATGTGTACAATCTCATTTCTAGTCATTTTTGCAGTGATCATTAGTGAATAAAGAACAGATTTACAAGTTTATATAGCAGGGCATCTGGGTTCAACACAAAACTGTTACAAACTTTAGGCAAATACATGTTTCATAAGACACTGCTAACACTTAGAGGAATTAAATAAAAGTCCAAAACTTGGAAAGCAAATAAAGACAAGACAACTAAGAAGCATTTTCCACCATTTACTCTTGTTATCAAAAATAGTTCAACTCTTCTTGCAAAACAAAAACAAAATAGTACATACTGGACACATACATCACATTTTTCTTCCTATGGCTTTAGCCCACCCCCACCCCACCGAAAGAGACAAAAAAAAAAAAAAAAAAGGGAGAAAAAAAAAAAGAAAGCCCAACAACAACAAAAACAATTCTACCTGACCACATTCACAGAAAATGACACCAGGATACACTACAAAACAGAAGGAGGTGTCATCTGCTCTGTGTCCAAAGGTTTCTTCTCCATGTCTTGTACTAAGTGAGTAACCATCATTGAACATGCTGTGTGCCAAATCAAAACATAAACTTCAACATATGTCAGATCTCATGAGAGATGGTGAACGTAGTAGAAATTAGAAATTTTCCAGCAGTATTTTTCTTTAAGCACTGTCAAAGCAGCAATTCTTTTAAATCATAAGGTCATTTCTTTACAACCTAGTCAGTCCTTGTTTTATTTGGGCTGTGCTCTTTCAAGCAACTGACTAGATTTCCCTTCAACAGAATGTTTGTGACTCACTTGTCTTCCCCATAAAAATTAAAGGGAAGACATGCATTTAAACTGAAATACAAGTTTGTGCTTTACATGCAAAAGAGCATTCTAAAGAAAATCCTCCTAGCTTCAAACCTACCTAAATGCACAGGCTTCATAAAAGTGCATTTTTTATTTGGCCTCTATAAAGAAGCCATAATGAATAGCACCCCAAAAAAGAGAAAAGGAGCCTATTCAAAATAAAGTCTGAAACTATTAGAGGTAACAAAAAAAAAAAATCAAATAAGTGGCCAATAGCAACAAATATAATGCATAAACCTGGGTAAGTTTGGGGGCATTATTTCAAAATTATTTTAAATAAATCCCAATTTCTAAATAAAAATTTTTATAATTTTTAAAATTCTGTCACATCCTATAGTCTAAATTCAATTACCTTCAGAATAAAACTGCTCTTCTCCACTTCATTTATCTAATTAGAACACTGCTAAAAGTGAAGGATTTTGAAATTTTTTCCCTAGAAATGAATCAGACTATTAAAAGTTATTCAAACTCAGAAGGGTCATAAACAGCTAAACATCTGCATCTTGACGGAATTTCAGTTCACTTTTTAAAAGACAGATTTCAACATTCTAATGAGGGGCAAATTTTCTTTCATAATACTGCTGATTTAAGAACTGCTACATACACCAGTAGCCAATTTTCATGATCAGAAATGGTATTATGTCAGCACAAAGGTTGAGCCAGACACATCAGCTTTTCAACAGGGGAAGCATCAATGGCATCTGAAGGCGGCACTGAGTCCCCTGAACTAATGGCTACTTTTTCACAAAAAATTAGCACAATCTTTATGGACTGACTAGATACCACTTCCTTACATTTAATCATAAACTTTGATTATGCACAAAGCATGACCATAAACAATGAGGTTAATGTTATTTTCCTTGCCAAAGTTCATTTTGTATAAATCAGTTGCATCAGCATTTGTTCTCAAACTATGAGGTTCTGTAAGAACTAAGGACATATAGTTGTAGGGTTACTCCTCCATTATCTGCAAACTATTTCCCCGACACTAACACATATAACTTAGCAATGAAAACACTTGATACAAGTGATCTATATGCAGGAGCTCCGGCAAGTTAAACCAACAAAACCATAGCTGCCGTAAAACTGTAGCTATTTCCCTACCAGAGGTAGGTTTAAAGACCCACTGATTTAACAGTCGAATCTCATGTCTATAGCTTCATCCAAACTTTTATCATCATGTGTACTGGCAGCTAAAAACGTTGTTACTGGGGACCCTGTGACATTAATTACACTGGTGCTGGTACTAGCATTGCGCACAGCAATGCTAGTCACATTAATGCCCAAAGTGAGCCTGGTCTGCTCCAAGGCCTTTTCTGGCACAGCAAATGCCTCCAGCTTCTTCTCCCCATTGGCCATATAGGAGTTTTGGCAGCCACGACATATACAATCTAAGCAGGCTTTGCGGTTAGAGTAGCAAGGGCAGCGTTGGCCGCGGCATGTAAGAACACTTGGATTTTGAGTAGCACGCCCACATTTACAACCTTTCTTTTCCTGGGGTTTTTTATACACAGTCTTGGTAGGACTTCCTGGCATAAAATGGTGACTAGGAATCTTTTCCTTTACGGTTTTGTCTTTTTTAAGAATACCTGGCTTGGTTTTAGAGTGAGATTTCTTGGATCCATGTTCATGACTCTTTTTCATGCTTTTAGTAGATAAAAGTACAGTTTTGCTGATTTTGGGTGTTGTGCCTCCATTGGGAACAGTTGCTATAGGTTGAAGAGAAATTTTGCTCTCCCGTTTCACTGTCACAGGGGCAGATGCCCCCAACGTTGGGCCTCGGATAATGGTAGAAATTGGAAGTGGCTGAACTTTCTCACTGTCACTTTCTGATCTGGATCGTTTTCTATTCAATTTTGCTACTTTCGGAGTTGCTGCTGTACATGATAACCCATGAAGTGCAGGACTGGTGGACATAAAAACATTATGGCTAAGAGACTGGGAAGAAAGCTGCAGAAAAGGTCCATTGGATACAGTGGCTTCCAAGTTGGGCTGCAAATTAGGGCAACAAACCTCTGTATTTGAAACAGTTTCTAAGCTGCGGAGCACTTCCTCAACACTCAGTAACAGAGAGTCACCAGGTTTTATATCTTCACTGAAACTGCAGATATCAATGCCTGTGGAGCATAAGTCAGTGGCTACTGTGTCACAGACAGGTGGCAAGCTGTCAGACAGATCCTCAGTTTTTATGTCAACAGTGTTACATACATCAATTGTGTTTGAATGTTCAGGTGAAGGAATATTTATACCAAATCTATCTATTGAAAGCCCATTATAAGTAGGCAAACCATTGATAACAGAACTGCCAATAGCAATGCTGAGGGTGCTTTCAGATATTGGAGATAAACTAGCTTGAGGATCAGTTGTGGGTTCTGAGGTTGAAGGTATAGGGGAATGTGTTAAACACAAAGTAAAGGATGAATCTGAGGGTTTTTCCGTCTCCTCACAAAACAATGATCCATCATTAAGCAAAGCCAAAATATCAGAAGAACAGTCGACTGCTTCTATTATATCCCGTGCCAATGTAGTCTGTGTTATATATTCGCATAGTTTTTTGTAGCAGTTCACTAGGATGCTTAACTGCTTGTTTTCCTCAAATTGCTCATAGTCTTTGCACCAGCTACATGAAGGTTTCATCATCATTTTCTTGCCTTTACAAGGTTTGCAGACATAATGTTGGCAGGTGGAGTTGGTGGGTGCAATAGGATCTTGTAGCAAATGTCCTAAGAGGGAAAAAGGAGGAAAGCAAAGATTTTAGTAAAATAAATATACGATTTCATATACTGAAGTTGAGATTATAAGTAATCTTGTAAAACTAAGATGGGTTAAACTCACCAGACCAGATAACAAAAAATATTATCTTAAAGGAAATGGAAAAATACTCAACAGTGTACTTCACTTCCATGCCATATTCCCCTTTCATCTCAAACCAGAATCTTCCTTGATTCTGTATTTCTCTCCCAAACCATATGTTCTGGTCCACTTTCTTATCCTCTTCTCCAAAAGCTATAAAGAGGTGAAGATCAGTCACCAAAAGCACAAACTTGGCTTAAAACCCTTGGAACCTCAACCGAACACAATACAACACGGTAATGCTACAATATACTGAACAAAATCATGCTGTTTATTTTGTATTAAACACTGGGAAAAAGATATGAGCAAGAGACACTTAGTCCCTACCCTCATTAAACATAGTTTAAGGGCATTAATCAGTACAAAGGCATCTTCACCAAAAAAAGTATAATTTCAAACCATTTTATTACATATACTAATCTAAAACTGAAAAGACTGAAATGTTATGATGAAAAAGAACTATGTTCATTTATTGAAAGAAAAAAGGGAGTAATACATTAAACTCAAACTCTCCTACAAAAAATCAAAATGCAATGACAAAAAAGAATTATATATAAATATATCAAAAGGAAAAAGGGCATACTATCAGACTCAAATTCTTCTGACAAAATACAAAATGACCCTAGTCATAAACCACAAGTATCCTAAGTACAGCAATATCATATAAAAGTGAAAGTGGTCTCCCAAATTATAAATGACCTGTGTAAATTATGTACCAGAAAGAGAGAGCAACTAGATGCAATCGCTATTTCCACCCTACTCCACAAAGAAGCAACTGTTCTTGGTTCCCAAATCAGGACAGTTAGCAATAAACTCAAAGTAGCACCTGTTTCTCAAACAAAATTACATAATTAAGACTCGGGCATGGGGGGCGCCTGGGTGGCTCAATCGTTAAGCGTCTGCCTTCGGCTCAGGTCATGGTCCCGGGGTGCTGGGATCGAGCCCCGCATCGGGCTCCCTGCTTGGCAGGAAGGAAGCCTGCTTCTCCCTCTTCCACTCCCCCTGCTTGTGTTCCTGCCCTTGCTATCTCTCTCTAAAAGAAAAACAAAAAGACTCAGGCATGGAAAAGAAGATACTTCGGGCTATAGCCAAGTGAAATCAGCAAACCCTCTCCCTTAAAACCAACTATAAACCTGAAAATTTTTGACAAAGCAAGTCATTTTCACAACCAAAGACAAAACCATTTGAGAAGCATTTATATGTTTGAAAAACTGCTCAATTTCACGTAACAACAGTGAGAATCTGTGGTGTTCTAGTCTGGGGCTGCCCAGTTCTCCCCTTCCATCTGTTCCATCAGTATTACCCTGAAGACCAGAAGCTGCTGTGATGGAAGGGGGCTCACTCCATTTAGTAGTGCAGAGGATGATGCAGAGCCCCAGAAACATGATCACTGAAAAGTGACTTCTCAGAGGCTAACCAGCTGGAGAAGGCAAGCAGCTCAGTTCTTACTAGGCCTGAAGTTGCATAAGCCCAGGTTAAACAGGCCACAAACAAGATGACAATTTACCCCAAGTTGATCTATAAATTCAATGTAATCTCTGAGAATCCCAGGTGTCTTTTTAAAGAAACTGATTCTAAAATTCTTATGGAATCGGAGGACCTAGTATAGCCAGAACAATTTTTTAAAAGAGCAAATTTGGAGGAATTTCACTACCAAATTTCAAAATCTTCTTTAAAGTTATAGTAATCAAAACAATGTGGCAATGGCAAAAGGATAAGCATATAAATCAATGGAACAGAAGAGTCCAGAAAGAAATTCTTACATTTATGGTCTACTGATGTGTGTGACGAGTGCCCAGATAATTCAACAGGGAGAGTATTTTCCGCACATCATGTCGAACAATTTGATATCCAAATGCCAAAAAACAAAAAAACCAACAACTACTTAGATTCTTACCTAACAACATGCACAAACATTAACTCAAAATGGATCACAGACATCTAAATTTAAGACCTAAAATTCTAGAAGAAAAACACAGGAGAAAAATCATGACTCTGGGCCGGGCAAAGTGTTTTATGTGACATCAATGCACAATCTGTGAAAGGGAAAAAATTATAAAATGGATTCCACAAAATTAAAAATGTGTGCTTCAAAAGACACCATTAAGAAAACAAAAAGATAAAGGTGCCTGGGTGGCTCAGTCGGTTAAGCATCTGCCTTCGACTCAAGTCATGGTCCTGAGATCAAGCCCCACATCAGGCTCTCTGCTCAGTGGGGAGTGTGCTCCCTCTGCCTACCCCTCTGCCTGCTTGTGCACGCTATCATATAAATAAATAAAATCTTTTCAAAAAAAAGAAAATGAAAAAATAATCCACAGTATGGGAAAAAATATTTGCAAATCATTTATCTGATAAAGGGCTTATAACATGACATACTAAAAATACTTCCTACAAATGAATAAAAAGACAACTCAATTTTAAAAGTGGGCAAAAGAACTACTGAGTATTTAACCCAAAGATACAAACATAGTGATCGAAGGGGCACATGCACCCCAATGTTTATTATAGCAGCAATGTCCACAATAGCCAAACTATGGAAAGAGCCTAGATGTCCATCAACAGATGAGCGGATAAAGAAAATGGGGTGTGTTGGGGTGCCTGGGTGGTTCAGTTGGTTAAGCAACTGCCTTCGGCTCAGGTCATGATCCTGGAGTCCTGGGATCAAGTCCCACATCGGGCTCCCTGCTCAGCAGTGAGTCAGCTTCTCCCTTGGACCCTCCCCCATCTCATGCTCTATCTCATTCTCTCTCTCAAATAAAATCTTTAAAAAAAAAAAAAAGAAAATGGGGTGTGTTCACACACACACACGGAATATTATGCAGCCATCAAAAAATGAAATCTTGCCTTTTGCAACAATGTGGATGGAACTAGAGGGTATTATGCTAAGCAAAGTAAGTCAATCAGAGAAAGCAAGTATCATATGATCTCACTGATAGGAGGAATTTGAGAAACAAGACAGAGGATCATAGGGGAACGGAGGGAAAAATGAAGTAAGATGAAACCAGAGAGGGAGACAAACAAAAGAGACTCATAATCTCAGGAAACAAACAGGATTGCTGGCGTGGAGGGGGGTTGGAGGGATGGGGTGGCTGGGTGATGGATACTGGGGAGGGTACGTGCTATGGTGAGTGCTGTGAATTGTGTAAGACTGATGATATAGACCGGTACCCCTGAAACAAATAATACATTATTTGTTAATTGAAAAAAAAAACTAAATAAAAGGATTCGGGAAAAAATAAAAGTGGGCGAAAGATTTGAATAAACACTGCATCAAAAAAATATGAGTGTCTAATAAGCATTTAAAAATATGCTCAATATCATTAAGTAAAACCTTACCACACTGCTTACACACCTATTAGAATGGATAAATTCAAAATGGACAGACAGTATACCAACAGTTGGCAAAGATGTGAAGAAACTGGAACCCTTCTGTATTACTGGTGAGAATGTAAAAGCGTACATCACAGTGGAAAACAGTTTGAAAGTTAAACATACATTTACTATACAAACCAGCAATTCTCCTAGGGAAAGGAGCTTTCATCTCAAAGAAAAATGAAAATATATGTCCATATAAATACATGTGAAATATGCATAGCTGCATTATTCACAACAAAAACTGGAAACAATCCAAATGTCCATCAACCAGTGAGAAGATAAAATGTAGTATATTCATACAATGGAATACTGTTCAGCAATTAAAATAACTATTGGTACATGCTACAATATGATTAACTTCAAAAGCATGCTAAGGCAAAGAAGCTAGATGCAAAAGAGTACATTATTGGATTATTTCATTTATATAAAATGTCTAGAAATGACAGAAAAGCAGAACTAGTTGTTGCCTGGGGCTGGGACCAGGAGCAGGGATTAACTCTAAGCGGGCACAATGGAACTTTCAGCAGTGATGAAAATGTTCTAATATCCTATCAGGGTGATGGTTGCACAACTCTAAAATCTTAAAAAAAAAAAAAAAAAAAAACTTAAGCACCAATAGTTATGTAATCCAACCTTCTACCTAATACAGGAATTCTTAGAGTACCCTTGACTTTATTTAAGGCAGGATGTAGGGGATATGAAAATACAGATACATATGTATGCACTTTTTTGTTTTGTTTTGAAGATTTTATCTATTTGACAGAGAGAGACACAGCGAAAGAGGGAACACAAGCAGGGTGAGTGGGAGAGGGAGAAGCAGGCTCTCCGCTGAGCAGGGAGCCCCGATGCACGGCTCGATCCCAGGACCCTGGGATCCTGACCTGAGCCTAAGGCAGACACTTAACGACTGAGCCACCCAGGAGCCCCCATATGTATGCACTTAAATGAATAAAATGTTAAGTTTAAAAAAATACTTTATATATTGGGAAGGAGAGACTGAACCAAGTAAAAAAGGAAAGGACTAGGCTGACTATTCTGGGTTTAACTTGTTTTGTAGCTTTTAATTCTCAAACCATATAAATATTTTACATAATTATATAACAAACTAAAATTCTAAAAGAAACCCCTAGGGACACCTGGGTGGCTCAGGTGGTCTGCCTTAAGCTCGGGTCCTGGCCTCAGGGTCCTAGGATCCAGCCCCATGTCGGACTCCCTAAGCCTGCTTCTCCCTCTCCCTCTGCCCCTCTCCCCTGCTTGTGCTCTCTCGCAAATAAAATCTTTAAAAAATAAACCCATAAAAATAAAAAGCAAAGCAAGTAACTTTAATTTTATATAAAATTGATGGTATAACCATTCAGAGATTAACTATTTTTTTTTAAAGATTTTATTTATTTGTCAGAGAGAGAGAACACAAGAAAGGGGAGCGGCAGGCAGAGGGAGAAGCAGGCTCCCCACCGAGCGGAGAGCCTGACGCAGGACTCCAACCCAGGACCCT